CTGTTCTGTTCTCTGGCGTTCCTTTCAGGATTCCTTCTTCTTTTCTTCCATTAGCAGATGGCACTGAAATGCAGCCAGCCAGGGAGGCTGCCCTTCATCTCCAAGGGTTAAGGTCATAAGGACTATTAGTGCTTAGTTACAGAATCTTGCAGAGCCAGTTAGACCATTTTCCAGTACTAGACAGCAGGCTGATAGCACAGAAGGAAAGGAAGCAACTTATTTCCAACTAAAGCATGGGACTTGACCAGCACAGCTTGTTTCCCAAACTTCAGCTCTATCTGCCCCGAGGAAAAACATGCCCAAGGAAAGCAGGCAGACGTGTTCTACCCTAAAGAGATGTGCAGAAAATGCATCTAGTTAAGCCTACTACTTCCAGTGCTGATCAGATTAACCTTTTTATACTTTTCTAGATTTGGAGATGCAGTCTAGAAAAGCTGAGTTCTACTCTTACATTCGTTGCTTGCTATTGATTTTTAAACCAAATCACCTAATCCCTCATAGCTGCGAGAAGGATAGGACTGACCTAAAGCAAGAGCTTTACAGATGACCTATAAAAGGCAAAACCTAAATAGGTATTTTTTACTTCCTGATGATATAAAAAGGATGACAGAAAACCTACCTCTCCAAATAACCCAACTATGCCTCCTAAATGATAGTAGGTGGTTATAACTTGAAACCGAAGTTTTCAAGTACCTGAAATGAACATCAAAATGTAATGGAGCTGGGAACTAGTTGGGAACTTTTCAGCTGCTCTATTTGTTCAGCTTCTCCAGTCATAATCAGCAAAACAATATTGTCAAACAAACAAAAAACAACATCCTACACCACAGAATCCTCTCCTCTGAACAGCCAAACAGTGAAAACTTCATTTTTCACAAGGTCATAAATGAAATTCTTTTAAAAAGGTTAGATACACAGCTACCTTGCTCTCTGCAAGGTACAGATATCTTTGCATGACAGCACTACCTTTCTCTTGGCATTATATATTCTGTATAAACTGAAATCTGATGGCTTAAGAAAGTTCTGTTCCCCCAAGGATTATAGACAAAGTTCCAAACCCAAAGGTTCTGCCCTTCAGTCCTGTGAAAATGAATTCAATGGAGCTGTACCCTCTGTGTGGATACATCTGCAGGTGTTGGGTCTAAATCCTGACCAGTATGTAGTTCATTTGTGCTTTAACTTTTGCTTAGAAAGTATGGTGTTTGGTTTTTTTTTTGCCATTACAGCTACCCTAGTACAAGCCTTCGTACAGGAAGAACTATCATCGAGTTCCTAATGCAATAGACATTACACTGCTTCTAAATCTGGAACGTCAGTAGTATTCCATGTATTTTTATACAATTCTGACAGCATTTACAGATAAAGTTTAAAAATTGTGAGGGCAAGCACTTAGTATTTGGCTAACCATTGTGTCGTTAGCCAGACTGTGAGCGCATATGACACTGCATCTGCATATTTTCCCCTTTGAAGTAAGTACAAGGGATCCCAAGAAAAAGGCTATAAACTAAACCACATGCATTGTCGTCTTCCAAGCACATAAGGTTAGTTTACTGTCAGTTTCTTTTAACTACTCAATTTTTTTTTCTTATCTCACTGTATCAGGTTTGCTTGGCAAGGTTTTGGTAGCAGGGAGGCTGCAGCAGTGGCTTCTATGAGAAGCTGCCTGTGTCC